ATTTGTAGCAGCTCTTTTTTGTGGTGACAAAGAATTGGAAATTGAGGGGATGCCCATCAGTTGGAGAATGGCTGAACAAGTTGTGGTATATGAATGTAAGTGGAATACTATTGTGCTGTAAGAAATGATGAGCAGGCAGACTTCAAAACAACCTGGAAAGACTTAAATGGACTGATGCTGAGTGAAGTGAGAAGAACCAGGAGAACATTGTACACAATAACAGCCACAATGTGCGATGACTAACTTTGACAGACTCATCTCCTCTCAGCAATACAAGGATCCAAGACAACTCCAAAGGACTCACGATGGAAAATGCTATCCATGTCCAGAAAAGGAACTATGGAGTCTGAATGAAGATCAAAGCACATCATTTGATCTCTCTCTCTCTCTCTCTCTCTCTCTCTCTCTCTCTCTCTCTCTCTCTCTCTCTCTCTCTCTCTCTCTTTTTTTTTTTTTGGTTTCTTCTTTGTCATGGTTTCTCCCATTGGTTCTAATTCTTCTTTACAACATGACTAATGTGAAAATTGGTTCAATAAGAATGTGTATATAGAGCCTATATCAGATTGCCCACCATCCTGGGGTGGGGGAGGGGAGATATGGGGAGAAAATTTGGAGCTCAAAATCTTATGGAAGTGAATGTTGAAAGCTAAAAATAAAGAAATTAATTTTAAAAATAAATAAGGAAAAAAACCCTACTCATTTTTATGAGTCATTGAATTAGCCTGATAGCATTTTGTGCTGTACCATTGTAGTTGACTACAGCCTGAAAAGAAATGGTGAATTACTGTATTGGTTTAGAGTAGAGTTTTTCTGAGAGAGCAAAAGTTTAACTCTCCAGCTATCAATATTACTATTGGTATTTATATGAGCTTGACATGTACATGAAAGAAACTATTTTGGAGAGCCTTTAAAGCTATATTTTGCTGCAATATAGGCACAATGAACTCATTACCCAGAGGATAATGGATAGAAATTATCCTCTATCAGTCTCAAGTAAGACATGAAACATAAAGATATAAATTTACCGGAGGTGTTCATTACTTTGATGGAACGTGTCTCATGCAGAGTCTGCACAGAAGAATTCCTTATATTCTTTATAGGGAGTCTTTCAGATGCCCATTGGTTGAGGACATGCTGATTACATCAAACCCCAGATTACTACAGAGCCTCCTCAGTGAGATTCATGACCATTCAAAAGTGATTGGTCTTCTAATCTATCACTGAAAACCAAAGAGATGAATAATGTATATTGACCAGATGATGTTATACAGTTGATCAATGGATTATTTCAGTAACTGCCATTGAGTTTGTTTATGGAAATATCATCAGATGAATCTCTCAAAGTGAAAAGTTTTTATAATAAAACTTTAAAAAATGTTTCAGACATAGGGATATCAGATATTCTTTAAATGAAATAAGTCCAATTTGACCTAGAATCAAAGAGAAAGAAAAGACCAGGCTGCACTGCATTTGGGAAATTACGCAGTGCTTTCAGTTATAACAGGCTGCTTCTGACACAAAAACTCATTGTTTTAACACTGGTATTCCTCCATTGATGCCATTTGTATGAAAATCATGAATGCTACAATTTCTGAAGATTGAAATTATAGATCTTGCAAAGGGCAATGAAGAGACATATTTTAGGTTTATGTAGGTATTAAAAATGGTAATTAGCATACAAGTAGCATAAAAGAAATGGAAGATCAGTAAGGCAGATGGACTGGTCGTGTAGTAAGAACAAACAATAGTACATGGACAGCCTGAGTGCCCCCTTTGTATCCATTAACAGCAACTTGGGGAACGTTTTTGAGGTAGTCCTCTTTGGAGCGTTTATGGAAGGACATGGACGAGAATCACAGGATGAGAAGGTGTGGCAGGCTTGAGATCAGTGCCACTGGATGAATCACTAACAGTTATTGAATCCCTGCTCCATTGGATGAAGTTTAAGAATTGGTTTATATTTCAAATACATGGTGGGAGGATCCTGGTAAAAAATTTGGTGAGTCTTTTGAGATGAACATTCAAAAGTGTTCTTGTTCTCTACAGTTGGATTAAGTGCTAAGACCATTGTTATGAGTTCAAACTCAGAGGGTCCACTTACTTTACTCTTGTTTCAGGGTCACAGGACCGTAGCCCTGACCACATAACTAACATTATGTTAATAATGTTTTGTTTGAATTTGAAAGACAGTGTTAGTTATGGATTTCCTTCCTTTAACCAGTAGCTCCCAAGTTCTTTACTTTTAAAAAGATGCACTACAGTTAACAGGTGACCCTGGGCACTCACTCAGTCTCTCTCAGCTTTCTGTTTTTCCATCTGTAAAATGGGGCTAAGAAGAGCTAGTATTCACTGAGTTCTTAGGCTTACAGGGTGCTTTATCCAGGTGCTCTCATTTGATCCTCACAGTGACCAGGTGAGGTCAGGGCTATCATTAGCCCCATTTTTACAGATGAGAAAACTGAAGCTGTGCAAAGTTAAGAGATTTTCCCAGGATCACACACCTAGAAAACACCTAGCCCACAAGGATCTGAAGCAAGATTAGAAATAAATCTTCCAGACTCCAAATCCAGCACTTTCTTTACTGTGCAGCCGACCTGCCTCTGAATGAAAAGCTCCAACATCATAAACCTCATAGAAGAGCAGGGAGGAGACATCTTCTGTAGCAGTGGGAAAGGGACTAGTGCTTGACCAAACGAGGGATGGAGAAAACCAGAGCCTGTAAAATGGACCTCTCTTCACTTCTAATGCATGTAGCACTGTGCCTGGTGCAAAGCAAGTGCTGTCTAAATGCTAGCAATTAGAATTCTCCTTGAGCTCAACTGCTAACTCCCTAGGCTTCTTTCTCCATCACCACCCAGCAGCCTTTTTACATTGGCATGGTCTGAGCTTATGAAGAGGCATTGCTCAAAAGAAGAAAATTATGCTGTCAGCAACCCTAAGAAAAATGCAATTTGAAAACTGAGGTTCTACCTCAGATTAGCAGAGAAGACAGAAAAGGAAAATGACCGATGTTACATTGACCTAGCATTCTGGAATGCAATTTGGAACTCTACTCAGAATGTCATCACACTGTATCTACCCTTTCAGCAGTGTCACTGCTCCTTGGCATAGACCCCAAGGAGATCAAGTAAAGGACTGTGGTGCAGGAGACAGAGAAGGGGATTGTCAGTAAGGGGACTTTCAATTTAAATCCTGCCTCTGCCAAATACCGTCCTGTAACTTTGGGTAAATCACTTTATTTCTCTAGATGGTCTGAAATTCTTTCCAGCTCTAAATATGGTCTTGTGACTTACATGTACAAAAATATTCATAACTGTGCTTTTTATGGTAGTGACGATTATGGTCAGAATTTTTATAGTACCTACTGTGTGCCAGGCACTGTGCCAAGTGCTTTTAAGAACGTCTCTCTTTTGAGGAATAGCTAAACAAATTATGGTATATGGATATAATAGAATATTATTGTGATGTAAGTAATGACAAAAGGGAAGGGTTAAGAGAAATCTGGGAAGACTTGGGTAAACTGAGTACTTTTAGGAGAATAATTTATACAATAGCTATTGTATGGTAAAGAAAATGACTTTGAAAGACTTAAAAATATTGAACTGTGCAATGATTAGTTCTAGAGGATTGATGAAGAAGTAAGCTTTCTACTTTTTAACACAGATGTGAGGGACTCGATGCAGCCTGACACACATTTTCAGACATGATCAGTATATGGATTTGTGTTATTTGAAGGGAAACATTTTTGATTGTCTGTTTTTTCCCTTGTAGGACAGAGGATCATTTGCAAAAAAAAAAAAGAGAAAAGAGTAAATGAAGCATTTTTTAACATACATGGAAGAAAGCAAAAAGGTAGTTTAGAAGGAAAAAGACAAGCCTGGCAGCATTAACACTAGCATGGTGAATTTATTATGTATTTTTTGAAAAAGTAAGATGTACATATTATACTCTCACAAAAGGCTATATTGACTGTCAGGAGTGATCTAGAAGGGACATCCAGGCAGGATGAAAGAGCCCTCCATGGCACTAAGCTTCTGTGGTGTTATTTATCAAAGGCCTCTTGTCAACAGACTAGTTTGTGCAGTGTGTTTTATATTCCTGTCATGCCATGTAGCCATCTTGTTTCCAAAAACGTGAAATTGTTCGAGGTGAAAAAATGAGGTTATTTTCAATTCCGTTTTAGTATTAGAAGCTTTGTGGAGCTAGATGGTACAGTGCCTAGAGCTGAGTTCAAATCTGTCCTCAGATACTTCCTAGCTGTGTGACCCTGGACAAGTCACTTAACCCTGTTTGCCTCTGTTTCCTCATCTGTAAAATGAGCTGGAGAAGGAGATGGCAAATTACTCCAGTGTCTTTGCCAAGAAGACCCCAAATGGGATCATGAAGAGTTGGACACGACTGAAATGACTGAATGACAACAACATTACAAGTTTTCCATGATGTAATATAATTTAAAGAGTGCTGAGCTTGGAGGCAGAAACACCCGAGTTCAAATCTAGCCTCAGAAACTTCCTTGCTGTGTGACCTTGGGCAAGTCACTTAACCTTTGTCATTGGAGAAGGAAATGGCAACCATTCCAGCATCTTTGCCAAGAAAACTCCATGTACAGAAGTCCACAGGGTCATGGAGAATCAGATACGACTGAACAACAACGACAACGATATTCCTTAAAATTGTTAAAGCATTTAAAGTGTTTCTGTTGTTTTATTTTCTCAGTGTAGTAATTTTATCTGTGAATATGTAGAAAAGGCCTGGTAAGTCAAAGTTGGTTTTCTGATTGTACCAAATAATTCATTTTATTTGTATTATTAATTCCCAACATCTGTTCTTGTTTTTGGTTTATGGCCAATTTACCTTCTTGTCAGTTAGCTTCAGGAACCCTCCAGTGTAAAATAAAAGAGTAAATATGGAAATTCCCAGTCTCTAAGCAGTAGGCTGAATACTCAACATTTGTCTCTTTTGGGTTCTATTAATTTCTTCTTTTCCTTTTTCTTTCAAAGCCTCACCAGAATTCCTGAAGAAGCCTGCTAATATATATGCACATGAATCCATGGATATTGTGTTTGAATGTGAAGTGACTGGGAAACCCATGCCAACTGTGAAATGGGTCAAGAATGGTGACATGGTTATCCCAAGTGATTACTTTAAGATTGTGGTAAGTATTTTTCAGAGGCTGTTTTCAGCTCTCCAATGTGTGCACGTGAAGATTATTTCTAGCTTGAATTATTAACTTATAGCTAAAGACTTAGAAATGTTTATATAAAATCCTAGACAGAGAAAGAGAGAGCATTCATGATGTTCCTAGGCACTGAATTAATCACTTGGGTTACTAGTTAAGTAAGCCAGACAGTGTCTACCCTCAGGGTGCTTACATTCTGATGGCATGGAGCTGGCCAGGAAGTGGCCTGGAGGTCTGGTCCCCAGAAAGTCTGTCTGTCTGTCTGTCTGTCTGTCTGTCTGTCTGTCTGTCTCTCTCTCTCTCTCTCTCTCTCTCTCTCTCTCTCTCTCTCTCTCTCTCTCTCCGTCTCTCTCTCTGTCTCTCTCTCTCTCTCTCTCTCTCTCTCTCTCTTCTCTCTCTCCCCCCCTTCTCTCTCTCTCTCTCCCCCCCTTCTCTCTCTCTCTCTCCCCCCTTCTCTCTCTCTCTCCCCCTTCTCTCTCTCTCTCTCCCCTTCTCTCTCTCTCTCTCTCTCTCTCTCTCTCTCTCTCTCTCTCTCTCTCACTCTCTCACTCTCTCTCGTGACATGTCACTGCCTCAGCTTCTGTAGAGCATCACAATGCCCTGGCCTTCAGTTTTCCACTCAGAGAGTCAGTGTTTGGTCCATTCCATAGCACTCTGGTCCTTTCAGGCCCCATGTTTCAATAGTGGCACAAATTACAATTTTATGGCCTTAGGCAAAGTATTTCACTTTTCTGGGCTTTAGTTTTGTCATCTGTTTACATGATAAGGTTGGACTACATGACCTCCAAAATCCCTTTCATCTCATCATCTATTGGAAAGTACTTTGAAAAACAATAATGCATTATACAAATGTAAAATGTTAGCATCTTTGTTCCATTGAAACAAAATCCATATGCCCAAAATGGGCTCTCAGATATTAGTTGAAGACAGCATACTGCAATGGGTTCAGATCCCAGTTCTGCCTTTTAAAAGCCATATGCCTTTGGTCAACTTGCTTTACCTTTTTGAGCCTCAGTATATTGACTTATGTCATTTATTATATGCCTTTCCTGCCATTTTTATGTCTTGTTGTTTAAACATGTATTAAATTCTTTAAGGAGAGAAGTAGGCTAACATTATCAATTCACTTTTAGTTTTCTTTCCAAGTCTTCCAAAATGGAACTTATCTTAGAAATCTATGTTCCTGTCTCACAGTATTGTTGTGAATAATGTGCTCACTAAATCTTAAAGCGCCATATAAATGTATAGTAATGTCATTAGCATCGCTATCATTATTATTGTATTGCACAAATGTACTTCCCCCAATAGACCCAGTTTTAGGGGAAGAAGTTCAAAATAAAACATGAGTGGACTTTGTTCTTACCAAAGGTCATGTGGCCCTGGCTTCTCCCCATCATCTTAGTCATATTTCTTGGTTTGCCTGAGTAACCTCATGTCAGAATTCTTTAAGCCTTAGCACTGAAGATTGATACAATACCTCAACACATGTAAAAAACATCTACATAAGTACTTAGTGATAATTTGAAATCTAAATTATATCATTAAAGGTTTAGTGTTGGGGCATGTTTTTCTTTGTAATCACATACCTAATTGTGCCTCACAGGCTATATCCTAAAATGATGTGTGTGAAATATACAACAGAACATGTTATAGGAAGCCATTTCCCGAAAAATTAAACTAAGTGGAATTCCATCTGTCAGAGCTGAATTAGCATCTCATTCTTTCATCTCTTTCTTTATTGGATGGCTTTAGTGACATTTTTGCCTGCTAATCACCACATGCCATAGTTTTCTGATGTGTGGGAGCTATGTTCAGTTTTAAAGTGAGTGTTTCAGAAAAGTATTTTGATTTTGCTACTAAATAATTTTGAGGTCAGGCCACCAATGATATTGGATATGGCCATATGATACTGATGCCTGTTTTGCTAGAGACAAAACTACAACCAAGAGTATTCCTTGTGTGCATCCCAAGAAGGATGCAGAGCTTAGATGCAGATCCATGTTACAAATATTGCGGATGCTTTTCTTTTTGCTAACACTGGGTTTTAAGAGACATTCTATAATATAAAAATTTAGATGACATTTTGTTTATACCTATAGTAGTGTTCAGTAATTAAATCATAAAATTGTTTTTATTCTTATTTCTCAGAAGGAACATAACCTTCAGGTTTTGGGTCTGGTGAAATCAGATGAAGGATTTTATCAGTGCATTGCAGAGAATGATGTTGGAAATTCACAGGCTGGAGCCCAGCTAATAATCCTTGACCATGGTAAGAAGGAACGGGGGTGATGGGATGAAGTATCTTAGGTACTGAAGAACTGCTTCTTCAGGCAGTGTTATAAAAAACCCATGATGTTCGTCTTTTCATAATGACTTGTTTCATTAACAACCTTTCCTTGTAACCAGGGATGGGATGACGTAAAGAAAGTTTAAGATAAAATTTCTTTATTGAAATGTGTAGCTTAGAATGACCATACAACCAATGGTTTTGGGCTCCTACTTTTTAAATAAAAATTTCAGATAAAAACTGAAAGGGATTTGCGATTAAGAAGAGAAGAAAATGAAGGGCCATGGATTCTTATACATGTTTCTGACTTTACATTGCATTAATTTAAATATTAGAATTCTATTCATGAAACTATAGGATTAAGAATTGGAGGGAGATTTGTACCTAGAGAAGTGAAGGGATTTACCTGCAGTCCAGGGTGGAGCCATGAGGGGGTGTCAGAGTGCACGGAGCCTGAGGCCTGGAATCAGGAGTCCCTGCAGCTATGTGACCTTGGGCAAGTCACTTAATTTCTTTTTGCCTCAGTTTCCTCAACTAGAAATTGAGAATAAGAATAATAGCACCTACCTCCTAGGGTTGTTATGAGATTCCAATGAGATAATGTGTAAAGCACTTAACACAGTTCCTGACATATAGTAAATACTCTGTACACATTAGCTAGCTAACTAGGTCATATAGCAATTTGCAGAGGAGGAATTCCAATTCAGGCCTTTCAATTTAAAATCCTGTGCTCTTACTACTAGGCAGTGCTGCCTTCTTTCCCATCAAGATTGAACTCCAAAGCATAATCTATACTTTGCAACTTATTCAATTTTTTCCCCCTATTTTCCCCAGGTTTTGTTTTATGCCCCCCCCTTTAGTAGAAGAAATAAGGCATTTAATTTATTTTTTCAGTTATAGGAATTAATGATGAATTTTTTAAATTTTATCCCTGAAATCTGATGGACATTTGACATCTGGAATAATTGCTACAGATAAGAGACAAACTTAAGAAGTAATCTTGGGAAGATGCTTCTTTGGCAGATGTCTAGACTTTCAAGAAAGGCCTTTATCCTGAGCCTCCCACAGTTAGACTATATTCATTTTTGTAGTTATCATTTAGAATGTGATTGAGAAAACATTGAATTGGGGTAGAGGAACCCTCTTAGCTTATCTGTTTTTTTTATTCATTATACTTCTCCTTCATATCGATCTTGTTACAGAACCAAATGAGCATTCTTACACCATCATGAAAACTCTCTCATGCTTTATTTAATAGTTTCAAAATAATTGTAGGTGAAACTGAGAAGTGGTGAGAATAGATATCTGTGAGATAACTGTAGCAGGGCTTCCTTAGCACAGCAGGCACACGTTTTCCAGACTGGAAGTAAGAGTGTGTCACCTGACTTATTAGAGGCCTTTTCATTCTTTTACGATGTCATAGAATTCAAGTATATGAATAGTTCATTAAAGGTCACAAAAAGGTATGTGTTACCTTTTCAGTATAGATCAGTATAATAAACATGATCATTAAAATGCTTTATTAACTAAACAGAAAAGAACAGTAGATATAGTTCTGCTTTCTAATGACACTGATTTTTTCAGAGAGATTGATAGCTTTTTGGAATAATCCATGGACAACTGTGCTTTATATCTTTTTGTCTAGGATTGCCAATAATGTTTTCCCCTAACTTTACAAGTACTTGTTTATCCTAGAAAGTTTTATATCCTAAAATATTAATTGTGTGTCTGATCTGTAAATGCATACGCAGTAAAAGTTCTGGATGGATTAGAAGAGAGAGGGTGGGCAGGGGATAGAATATTTAGAAAAGTCATATACACTCATAATTCATATAATTAGCTTCATTTATAATTTTGTAATCCTATGTATGTTATCCTATGGAAGTCCAGTGCATCAAAAAGGTTAAGAAGCCCTTTGTTTGGAGGTTATGTGTGATAATCCATTGTAAGGTAGTTAAGGGCCTGGAAGGAACAGTGGACACAATAAATAAAGAACTCTAACTCTTGGGATTGGAAAAAGCTCCCTGAGCATCTATTCCTGTCTGTACCTGAGGGGGCATTCCCTCTGCAATATGCCTTCTCTGGGGCTACCTCGCTTCCATTTTGAGACCTTTCTCACAAGCATCTTAGTCCACTTTTGGGTAGCTCTAATTGTCGAAGCAGTTTTTCCTGATATGAAACTCATCTAACTTTTATTACCTTCTCTTCCCCCCCCCCCAATTGCTCCCATCTCTGCCTTCTGGAGGCAAAGGAAAAAATTTTAGTCCTTCTCCAATGTGTCAGGCCCTTCAGACACAGCTCTTACGCCCCTCACTGGTCTGATCTCCAGACTGAACATCCCGCTTTGTTTCATTTGCTCCTCTTCTCAAATGGTTTTGAGTCCTTGTATCATTTTTGGTCACCCTCTTCTGGACACACACCTGCTTGCCAAGTTACTTCCTACAACAGGGCATTTAGAATGGAACGTAGTCCTCCAGATGTTGTCTGCGCAAGGCAATGAACAGAGATTATCCATCCAGTTCAGCAACCAAACATTTTTACATTACTCTAAGGCTTAGAGTTAGATGATGAGGATACACATGCAATAGAAAACCAGTGTTGACCTTGAGAAGCTTGTTTTCTGCTGAGTATGTTATGGGATGGATATAGATCGTATGTGGACACTTAATAAATACTTGAAAGATTGGAAGTTTATTTAAGAAGAGGAGAGCACTACCAAACTGGAAAATCTGGGAAGTCTTCATAGAAGAGGTGGTACCTGAGCCGGGCCTTGAAAGAAGGTAAAGACTCTAAAAAGCAGAAATGAGAAGGGAGTAAAATGCAAGTTCTCTCGCTTGGAGGTGGGAGCTAGAGTCTCAAGTTCAGGGAGCAACGAGTAGTACAGATTAGCTGGAACAGAGACCCCATGAAGGGAATGATAGGAAATAAGGCTGGAAAAGTATATAGGGAGCAGGTTGTGGAGGGCCTCAAGTGACAGGCTGAGAGGTTTGTTTTTTCTCCCAGAGCCAGTAGAGAGTCACAGAATGTTTTGTAATGAAGCTTTGAACTAAAGTGTGGGCAGAAAGGAGAGGAATAAGGCTTGGGAATTGGAGACTGGTGTTGGAACCTAGGAGAGGACAAGTCAAAGGTGATTCTTAATGTTTTATGTGTACACTGACTCTGGAGAGAAGTAATGCCATTGGTAGAAATAGGGGCTGATGTGTTTTTTTTTTTTTGGTGAGGCAGTTGGGGTTAAGTGACTTGCCCAAGGTCACACAGCTAATATGTGTCAAGTTTTGGTCTGAGGCCGAATTTGAACTCAGGTCCTCCTGACTTCAGGGCAGGTGCTCTATCCACTGCGCCACCTAGCTGCCTCAAGGGGCTGGTTTTTGGAAGAAGACAGCGAATTAAGTTTGGGATCTTTTCACTTGAGATAGCAGTCATTTTGAAAAGTAGAACTGGGTTATGTGGAGACAAAGCTCAGTGGGAGTCACTTAATAAGAAGCAGGTGGATGTTGAGGGCGAGGAGGGAGTCTCACAGATAGCTGCAAAAACAGACCTAAGCTTCAGGAAAATAGGTTTATTGTGTCAAAGAAATAGCTCCCTGGGACTCTCTTAATTTTGGTACCTTAATAAGCTCTAGGCTTCCTCAATTTTGAACTTTGACAACTTGCTCGTCCAGTTAACTTGCCCATCTAATCCCTTTTAAATTTGTTTTCCGCAGATAGACGTAGCTAAACTAGCCTAGTGGTTTGATTTCTTTTTTTTAAAGACCAGGCCTGTCTTCCTCACATGCTGCCTCTTCTGCCCAGGTGGGTCTCGAGTCAGATATGACGTTATTATCCCAGGACAGATAAGTTACAGCTACAATGGCAGAGTTATTCACTATAATGCCAGCTCCCTAACATGAGGCTCCAGAGACTAGAGAGCTCTAACAGCAGGCCTCTGGAAAGTTAACCAGGGTGCCTTAAATGCATTTAAGACCTCCAGAGGCCACAGATTCCTGGCCTGTAAGCAGTCAGAGAGTAGGGCAGGGGGAAAGGCCCTTTACATCATGAGTGCCACAAACTTTCCGGGATTTTTGGCCAAGAGCAAGTTGTTTGTAGACTTTCTCCTCTGGGATTCTCAATATCCTGGACCAGATGGGCACTGGTGGCCTGCCTGACTCACCAGACAGTATTCTAGGCTACCTCAGCCTCACAGATAATACACCCTATTAAACAAGTGAGAAGAGACTTCTTCAGGAAGCCACAAAGAGTCCCCTGTTAGAGCCAAGCTTACTAATAAGCAAATTTATCTGCCTCAGCCGGCAAAGAGACCAAGACAGAATGTGCCAGTTCCTTCTGGACCCTAAGTCAACAAGATTTGGCATGGAAGACTTCTACTCTGGTAGATCCGTTTTTGGATGGCCTGGCTGCTCCTATTTGTAATGAATTAGGTCAGGTAAACATGGCTAATGACCTGCTTCTTCTCATGGAGCCTGATATACACATCAAGTCTTAACTTCTAGTCATAGCCCATTTGTGGGCGGGGAGGGGATGGGGAAAGAACTGGTGTAGCTGGTGCAATTCAGAGAATAAAAAGACCTAAGTTTACCTTTATTTCCCTGTCACAGTATTGCATCCAGACAAGAAGATGTCCACAAACTTGTGCGCCTGATACATTGAGTGATTTGAAAGCAGCAGCTGCTATCACCTCCCATTCCTGTATCAGCCAAACCTCACCACTTGGACCATTGCTTAGCTCTTTGTGACTCTTACAGTAAAACTCCTACATCTTCCCCTTCTTGGTTGCTGTCCATCTCAGCTGTGGTGTGTTTGAATAGTGCTAACGTGATGAACTCCTTACATGTCTGAAGAGGCTATATACACTAGAGATCTTGTATTGCCTCGGTGGTAGCTGAAATAATAGATGGATGCCCTCTTTGATCTAGACCATTGGTTCAGGAGACCAAGCCCTTATAAGTCCTTGGGAAAAGATCACAAACTCAATATGACCTTCTA